TCCATCCTGAGGTAATTATTTTTCTTTTTCCTTTGCAGAAGAGTGGCCACTCACGGCGTTTTGGGCGCTTCACGCATGGTGCGTTGTATTACTTCTGCCCCTCCCTGCCAGAGGCCTGCCTCAAATACACTTCTTGGGGGTGGGGAAGAGCAGTGGGGCAACTGGGTGCAGCAGAAGACAGCCCCGCCGAACCTTTAATGGTTGTGTGGAAGAGGCAGCAGATGTTGGTGCAGTCATATATTGGAAAGGCAGTTAAAGTGATACCCCAATGTTGATTTTGTCTGAAATGGTACCCTTTCTCAGTGTGCTGCCCTCCAGGTGCGGTCATATTACAATACCCATCACTAGCAGCTGCTGACCATTCTGGCTGTGGGTTTCCTCATAGGACAGAGAGTTATAAAAGTGTGAACAATGCAAAATGGAGAGAGAGAGAGAAAGCAGTCTTTTGCTGACTCTGCTGCTAGTCATCCATTAGTAGCATGTTTAAGTCAAAAAAGAGGAAGTATATATGGAATTTCTGCCACAGCATATAGTGATGCCCCACCATTATGCAAAGGCTTAGATCAGAACTGGGGATCCTGTGGACCAGCAGATGTTGTAAACCTCAAGCTGGCAATCTTATACTCCAGGGCTTACCGAGACTCCAGATCCCTCTCTATTGGCTAAGCTATCAAGGACTGACGGGAACTGGGAGCAATCACCACCTTGGGTTTTGTTACCAGCCAGGAAGGTTTACTTGGAGCAGCTAGTTACCTTTTTGTTGTGGTTCTTAGCTTAGTACTTGAGGGTATTGAAGCTGGTGGGAGGAGTGAGATGGGCCTAGCTGAGGGCGTGTGAGGAAAGAATATGCTATTCATGGTGCTAGGCTTCCACCAGACTCATAAAAACATGCCATGATTACTGGAGAAACATCTGTCATAACATCCCTCATGCAACCTAAGACTTCTGGGCCGTTGCCTTCATTGATTTGTTTTTCATTCATTCAGCCTGCCCTTCTGCATCCCACTCCCCAGATCCTAATGAGTTTCAGTGTCCTGATTCCTACTTCCTCCATTCTTCCCTCCATTCACATCTCATCTTGTTACATATGCCTGTCTTGCACTTTAGATCATTCTCCTCCCACATGCACCATCCTCATATATCTCGGCTTGCAGGCCAGATATTTTACATTCCATTGCATTTTAGGATATTCGTAGGTCTGGGCTGGTATGGGTGGTAACACTTTGTTGACGTGTGTCTCTCTTTCTTGCTGCCCCTATGGAAGCGAAGTTTTCCGCTCCTGCAGAAAGCAAAGTTATGGTAGGAATCACACTTTTTTCCCTAGCTCTGTCTGATATTTATCCTAATTCTATTCTTCCTAGCTCCTTCTCCTCCCTCCTCTTCATACTGCTGCTGCTCTTGGATCTTAATGTGCAACTTCATATTTTTATTTATTTATTTAAAGTTTTATATACTGTCCAACTACAACAGTGCTCTACCATGCATCATTTTGGGACTGGGTGTGGGGAGGAAAACTTCTACATACATTAAACTAAATATGACAGTCTCCTTATCCCCATATTCCCTTCCCTATAGCAGTTCACAACGAATGGAGGATATCTCTGTGATTCTCGCTATAATTTCACTGCTTACAGAGATGGACAGTGAAGACCAAACTATGTGGCACACACAGCTCTGTGCAATCAAAAGCAACCTCTGAGGAGGAACAGTTGGAGCTTAACATGTACCTTTCCGGCTAATCTGCTAAAAATCTCCCCCTCCCACTAGGGAAACACTTATGGGTACCTCCAAGACTCAACTTTTGGTTTGGTTGCCACTCACCTGGCATGGTTCTGCCATTGGCCTTTCCTCAGCCTGCTGAGCAATCTGCTCCCCCACCCCCTAATCTATCAACTGTCTCTTGAGACTTCTCTTGTGCCTTGGGGTAACGGCTCCTATGGAAGCTGAACAGCTGCAGCTACAGAAAAATGAGCTGCATTTTCTTTACACAGAACCAAACACCATGCCAGAAAGGGGTGAACTCCAGTGCTCTGTAGTTTACTCAGACTCATATGTTCCTTCAGCATTCAACTCCAAAGACTTAATCATTTATATTTTTATCCTGCCCTTCTCTGGGAATGTGCAATGGCCCTTCCTTGCTTGGGCTGTATTTGGAGGGGACAGTGTGTAATGACTCTGCGGAATCTCTGCGCAATTGCCATTGAACCATGGAGCAAACTATCACCAATGACTTCTTATATGGAATGACATCTCATTTTCTTCTGCCTCTTTTTTTTAAACAAGAAGTAACTACAGGAGACTGCATCTGGGAGGGGAGGAAAGGTGGTTGAAGGAGAGCTTAGCTCCCGCTGCTTATTTTTCCATTCAGAATCAGTCCCTTTAAATGGCTTTTCCATCTGCTGGGGAAAAGGTAAAAGCAGGGCTTGCATAAAGGCTAAGATATCCCAGCATGGACCCAGTGACAAGAGGCTGCTGGACTTGCACCTCTTTGTCACCATTGCAGCTTGCTTGTTCACCTCCCTCTTGCCCAGAGCAATGGTGTTGGTGGCAAGCGAGAGGAGCAGCAGAGACCACTGCTCCTTGCCCACTGTCCCCCTGCCTGCCTGTCAGTAAGCAAATGGGAGAAATGCTGAGAAAAAGGAGGAGGAGCAAGAGCAGGTGGTGAGAAGGTAGACTCAGTGGGGAAGAGGGTATTTTGCTCAAGGGCTCTCATAAACCTTGAGCCAGCACTGAGTGCAGGTCACGTATCTCTCACCCCTGTGATGGGGAGAATAGCTGAGGTGATGATAAGCAGGAAAAAAAATGGTTCACAAGGAAAGCAGCTTTTTGCCTGCAGATCCACGGATCAAGATTGCACTTTAAATTTTTAAAAACTCTGAGTTGTGTGTAATATGTAATTTTGCCTGAATAACCACTTACCTCTTGTGAAGTGCCTTAGGAGATAGTGGTTTGCAACTGAGGAGATGCAGGAGGAAAGGAAGTAATTTTCTCCCCTGCCAGAAGCATTCCTCCTGAAATTTCTCTGCTGATGCTTTTATCCTTTCCCATTTTTAGGAATTTTGTTTACCTTGCAAGCACAGTTTTGGAATCCTTCAGGAGGCAAAACAGGTAGTTGAGGGAGTCTCAGGGAGAAAGTAACTGGAAGGGAAATTATTAAGCATTCTCTAAAGCACTTCATCTTAGAGGCATTTTGCTGTCACTCGCAGTTGCAATATATACTTACCCCTAAGCATCAGATCAGTCCAAGGTATTTAGATGTCGCCAGGGGAGCAAATTATTTAGGGTTGAAACCTGCACTATTTTGCACTGCATTGGTTTTAGAAGGCCTGCCATAGTCTGTAGATTTACTTATAAATGGTGAATCACTCTTGTTTGCCATTTGGTCCCCTTTCTGACTCTGCATCCTTTGTGTTAGATGTGTTCCAAATTAGGGGAGCTGTAAAAGAAAATGAAAGCTCCACAGGGAAAATTATGGCGTCCAATCCCTGGGCACTTCCAGACAGAGGACTCCTTGCACTACTAATCAGTATGCATACTATAGTTATTTCATCCCCCCTCCCCACTTAATGGATTTTCAGTGGTTAAAAAAAAGAAGGAAGCAATTACAAGAGGAAAATGACTGTGTCTGGATCTCCTATAAAATATTGTAATTGATGTGGGACAATTACACAGCAAAAACTTCTTCTGAAATCACCCTTGGACTTTCTTACCCTGAGCTCAAGCAGTGGCAAAACAAAGTCTGCTGGAGCAATACATCTGAGCTGATTTGGCATTGTGTTTTGTTTTCAAGAAGCACTTTCTTCCCTCTCTCTGCTCAATTCTTTATAAACACTTATGATTTTTTTAAATCATAAGAATATAGAAACTGGTTAACAATCCCCAAAAGCTCTTTTATACAAATTGGGCCTCACATTGTACCTTCTCTTTGTAACATCAATAAAAGAAAACCATTTAGTCTAAAAAATCCTCTGAACACTGTCATCCCTTAATTGCACATGTTCCATAATAGGTGACACTCCTGTCAGCTTCCTACAGTTTAGCCAACCATTGTTTTAGGGAGGGAAGGGAAGATTCATGCCACTTTTTGGCCATAAACATTTTAGCTGCAGTTACCAAATGAGTTTGTCAAATTGACTCATCAAAATCCCTGAACAGTGTTGGAGGTTTAAGAATGATTGGGAAATTTCATGTGAAATATATCACATAGAAGAATTTTACTCCCAGATAACTTTATGGGCAGTTGGCCATATGTGGAAAATGCATGTTAGACTGCACACATTTTTTGCATTTATTGGTTTTTCTAGATACGTTTTGCTTAGATGATATGGGGTTTGGTGCCATTGTTTTAAGACCTTGCAATAATTTTCCTTTCCATCCCCAGTGGTGAAACTGCAATCTTCTTGCATATTATATGCAATATATTGTCTGAAATGAATGTCTTCAATATCTTTTCCCTGCCTATTCATTTATTCATTCAGTCAATCGGTTTATGAGTCATCCTATAACTGAAGCTATATGCTAATCTACATAATAAAGGCATAATATACCTAATATAATGGAATATGCATTATAATATATAATAAATATCAAGAAGCATTCCAAGAAGTATGACATTCCATAATTTTCAGTTCAGACTGTGAACTACCTTGGCTGGCTGAAAACCCTGGTATTTCTCTAATCCTTACATTCAAAAGCCAAATGTGGTGAAGTATGAAAGTTATGATTTGCCTGCTGGTGCTTATAGCTCTCTAATCACTGGGCCCTCATCCTTTCAAGCATATCTGTAAAACTGAGAACTTTCCTTCTCTCTCTTTCTCTTGTGGTTGTTTGTGTCATTGTTTTTAATACTGAAAACTGAATTTGCAAGATCTTACCAAGGACTTGCAAGTCACATGGAGTCTGCGGTTTTTCCATTCAGTGGAAAATGGGACTGAACACTCAGGGTCAAGGAGCAGATCTTGCAATGTCCCCTCCTCACCTTGTTCTTTTTCTTGCTTTAGACTCGGAGACGGGAGAAGATGATGCCAGCAGCACACAGGTGACCCAACGCAGCCAACTCCAGGATGAGACAACCTATAGCTCCCCTACAGGTGAGCAGAAGCCAGGCAAGGAGTGTAAAGATATGGCAAAGTGTGGTGATCAGAGCTGACAGTTTATCATAAAAATGTTCCTGCTGGTGTCCCAGACCTTCTGCCACATAATGCCTTTATAATCCAAGCTTGTAATTTTCCTGTTAACCTATTATTATGTTTCTGTGTCACAGGTGGTATGTCATACACAGTTCCTGCTTAGGACTGTGAGAGACAAACTGTTGAATGTTCACTTCTGCTTTCTTGGATTATTGGCTAAAATCAGCTTTCCTCAACCTTATGTCCACCAGACATGTTGAACTACAAGGAATTAACGAGAGTTGTAGTCCAGCCTATTTGTTGCAAGGTCAGGGAAACTGTGCTAAAACCTTTCTGTCAGTATTCCTGAGAGACTGAATGCAAATTGCAACCTACATACATTAATATCTACACAAGAAGTCCACACTGAGTACAGTCACACATCACAAGAACCCATTGTGGCAACTTGCCATGGTGGGTTAGTTGGTTGTTCTGTAAGGCCTCTTTTACACCCTGACCCTGTAGGGACTTCAGAAAGTAGAAAAGTGAGTCTCCCACCACCTTTTTTAAAAGGGAATCTGATTATGTTGAGGGGTGGGTTTGAGCAGTATTTTGGGAATTTGGACTCAGAAATCTGTCCCAGTGTAAGTCTACCAATTTCCTGTTCAACTTCTCCATGTTAAGGGACTGCTGCATTTGACAGCCACTTACCAACAAACACATATTGCCTCAATCTAGGTATGAATTTATTCCATTTGTGCTTTGGAAATGAGCACAAAAAGGGGTGGGGGGTTTGCATTCATATGTGGGCGCAAAAAATAAATAAAAATACTGGGTACTTCTGTGGCGCTCTGAAGGGACATTGTGCAAGACTTGACTGGAAAAGCTGGCTGTGAAGCTTTTAAAAAAATGTCTGCTTTTTTTTAAGTGTCAAAAAAGATATGGCAAACTGAAAACAGCTCAGCATTTCAGTGGGGAGGGAAAGAAGCCAGTCTCAGCTGCCTCCAAGTGCAGCTTGACCCCTTGTAGGATAGTTGGCCCTGGCAGTAACCAGGGCTAGCTCAGGGAGAGTTGCAAGCAAGAATGTCCAGCAAGTCATTGGCTGTGAGCCTTCATCTAAAGCGGAGTCAAATATTCAGGTTTGGTTGACATGACAACCCATAGTCAGTAGAAGGAAGTCTCAAACAGCCCATGGATTCTCCTCTTGTTTAGAAAAATCCCAAACCATCATGTGTAACCTGGGCTGAATGTACATGACACCACAGCCACCAGCAGTTGCTTTTGTTTGTTGGCTTCCATGGCATGCAAACCACATCACTGTTTTGATTCACCAGCCATGTAAAATGGTAGACAGATTCTCTAAGCAGGGGCTACTCTAGTCCTTTTTGTATCACTGGCCTTAACATTTTCTTTCTGGAGACATAGCAAGCTTGACAGAACCTTCTTTGGGAAGCAGGGCACATGATAACTGATGCAGAACATGAACTTAATAAAGAGGGCAACTTTATATCAGGGAAGGACCCAGCAAAGCATAAAGGTCATTAGATACTACAGAAATAAAGCTGAAAAATCACAGCCTTTACCAATTGCCTCCCCACATTAGAGCCCTGCAGTATACAGTCACTTGAAACAACTTTCAGACACTCTTCTCTCAGTGACAAGGCAAAAGAGGGAAAAGAGTGCTAGTAAGACCACATATGGTCATCATGTTTAAGAGGAGTCATATTGTGAACTGAGCAAGGTATAGAGTCCTGGATGCAGTCTGGAGTGTAAGCACAGAAGTATCTATAACTTTTATTCTCTAAAGTCAGGGCGGGGAAATTTGGACCCTTCCAGATGTTGCTGGACTCCAGCTCCCATCTGATTCAGCCAGCATGGTGACACAAGTTGTGGTTCAGCAACACTATGGGGACAGAAGTTCCCTAGGTAAAGGTAAAAGTTTCCCCTTGACATTATATCCAGTAGCGTCTGACTCTAGGGAGAAATGTTTATCTGTTTCTTGGCTGAGTTCCCTACCCCTCCTCTAAAGGGCCACGTACATCAATGGGCTTATACATAACAATCCTTACATACCTTAACATAAGCAAACATTCTCCCCTCAAAAAAAAAAAAAAAAAAAAAAAACCCTGTTTCCAAAATGTTATCACCCTTCAGCACAGGAAAGAGCAACTTGTGGCTCCCCCAGGTGTTGTTCAGCTAGAGCTCCCATCATCCTTCATCACTGGCTGTGCTGCCTAGAGCCAATTGAAGTTGCAGTCTAGCAACATCTGGAGGACCACAAGTTGTCCGCCCCATTTTAGTACAATTAGATAGTGGAACTCAGGATGGGATAAGTCTGTGCAGCAGATTCCTGCCTTGACTCCCAGTGTCTGAGGTCAGTGGCTCAGTGTCATGGGTCAGGGTTAGCCAGCACTGCATTGTTTCCCTGAGTACACCCACAAAAGGTAACCAGCAGTACCTGCAGATGCTATGGTGATACATGCAGAAGCTGCCCCTTTCTCATGATACTGAGTGACCCAACACCAAAAAATTGGCCTTAATGAATACAGGTGGTACGACTCACTGAGAAAAAGTATATGCTTGGAGCCAAATACTTAACTTACAATATGGCTTTAATAAAGGGGAAAGACCATAGTTCGATGGCAGAACATCTGCTTTTGCATGTTTCAGTCCCAGTTTCAAACTTGGGTATCTATAATTAGAAGGATTAGGTAGCAGGGGATGCTATAGGCTCTCTGCTTGCTACTCTGAATAGATGTAGCTGCCAGTCAGAGCAGAGAGTACTAGACTAGCTAGGCAGATAGTCTGACCATGTGCTCTTACTTGCATCCAGAAAGTCCAAATTCTGCAGTAAGAAGAGCTGAATTCTGCAACCTGAATAAATTACATCTAATAGGCATTTTGCATATTTCCTTACTTTACTTGATCTAATTCTACCATTTCTGCATATTTTATTCCTTTACTGGTCATGGGAAAGGCAAGGATTTGGACTATCACAGTGATGAATAAAACAACATCCTATAAGTGGCTATGTGTGGGGCGGGGGAGAATGAGCTCCATCCAGACTTTCTAAAGAAGTTGGCTACCATATATCAATTACTGGAATAGGTGTTATGCACAGATATACTATAAGTGTATTAAGTTGGAGAATTGTAATAGGTGTTAACGACAGTAAGCTATATACTACAAGCTATACAAAGATTCATTTACATTGTTGTAAAGAGAAAATATTAATTCTCCCTATCCCTGCTACAAACGTTTGACTGTGTACATTGTGGAATTATCCTTCCCCTCTCCCTGGTCAAATCTTACTGGCAGTTGGGATCTTCAGGGGCCAACCAAGCCTCCCCGCATCTCGTTCTCTTTCCCTCTCCCCACCCTCCACTTTGTCCTTTCCAGCTGATGAGCCCCACTTGAGAGAAAAATGCTTATTCTTAGCCTCTAGGAATATGACCTTACACTTACACAAGATATATAGTATGGCACTGCATGCCCCAAGAAACTGGTATTTTATAGCCACTTCAATTAAACAATATCTATCAAATCCTAAAATATTACAGGCTCTTCTGAGGACAGGCTTGGAACTCCTCTGGCTCAAAAATGTGGCCTCAGGCCTCTGCACATGCATCATTATCAGTGCCACTCAGCCTGATCCCAGCCTGAGGGAAGGAAAGGGGAAAAGCCCAGCAGGGGTGTAGTGGATCCAGGGCTCCCTTGGATGCAGCACCAACACTTTCTGATCAGCACTTTCTGGGATGCCTCCCTTCTCCAATACACCTGGCCATCCTCACAGCAGCTGAAGAGGAAACTGCTTTTCCCAAGCAACAATATATTGTTCCCTGTTGTATTACAAAGTATTTTGGGGTGCCTTGTTCTTAAATAGGCCATTAACAGCGTTTAGCTGTATCAAGGCAGAGGAGAAGAACATGAGAACTGTTTTGTTGATATGGATAGGTATGCATGTGTTTTTGAGTGCTTCTTGGGGATGTGGCTAGGGGGAGGATCATGATACATACCTGCACTTCCAAATTTACCACCGCACTGCTGGTTCCTAGTCCCCTCAATCAGTCCTTCTCTGTGTTTCTGACAGGGGAGTCGGACACGCTGGTGGATGCCTCCATGAAGACAACGCCAACCTCGGTGCCAGGCCTGTCCCAGACAGATGAGCACTCCAGTTGGTCAGGGAGCCAAGCCACGGTGTTGGAAAAGGATCCAGAGGCTGGCCCCACCGTGAGGGGACCCTACCTGCACCCCAGCATTCCAAGGCAAGCACCTGCCGAGGCCCGGCACCTGGGGGTGGAGCCGCTGGTGCGGGCATCACGGGCGGAGCTGATTGGTGTGGCCCCGGGGTCCGAGGACAGCCTGTCTCTAGGGAGCGACCCCTACGGCAGTGCCTTCAGCCTGTACCGGGGCCGTGCCCTCTCCCTGCACGTGTAAGTAGCAGTGGGGCCAGGGAATGGGGTGCAGGGGCCATTGTGCTGGGACCATCATTTTCCTCTACCCCCAGTCATGACCCCCACAAAACTCTCAGCCTCTCAGTCATGATTCCAGTGCACCGCTCAGTCCCTCCTGAGCCCCTTCATCCTAATCCTGATCCCTGACGTCATGGCACCTTCCATCCAAAGCCGCCCTTGCACTCTTAGCCCTTTGGAACCAGGCACACCTATCAGGTCATTGCAGTATCTGTTCTTTCCCTAACCTCCCTAGCCCCGTGCCATTCCTTTTCTGTTCCGTTGCAGGCTACTTGTAGGTCAGTATCCCCCATTATGACTCCCCCAGGCTGCAGTCTCCCCTATTGGCATAGGGAGCAGGAACACCATAACTCCCCTCATTCTGGAGTGTGGTCCCTTTTTTCAGATTTGACCTGACTCCTTACCATAAGGCAGACTGAAACCTTTAGGGTCATGTGGTTCCATCTAGGACTTGTAGCCCCTCAGCACTAGAATTGAATAAATATCAGCACATCGGTTGTGGGTGTATAAAGAGCCCCAGTGCTCTGCTTTGAGCAGAACACAGGTGCAGTGGGCTGTATCATAAGCCATGTAAATGACCAGCCAAGAAAATGAGTCAATTAAACCTTTCAGATTCTGGCTCCAAATGTATTCTCTATCTGTTATGGGTGCAATCTAGCCAATGTTAAGCACTTCTGAGCTGTGTTTATTTCATGGGAATGGTTAAGCACGTGCTTACATCGCTCCCATTGAAACCTAGAGGACAAAAGTGCTTTACTCTGAGTAGATGCTGCTGCTGCTACTGCTGAAATCACATTTATAACCTGCCTCACTTCCTCCTATAAGGAACCCAAGGCAGCTAACAAGATTCTCCACCCGTCCACGTATCCTCATGACAATCCTGTAATATAGGCTAGGCTGGGAGTTGTGACTGGTCCTAAGTCACCCAGTGAGCTTTCCTGGCTGAGTGGGGACTAGAACCCACATCTCAGTTCCAGTCCTGCACTCTAACTGCCACACCACACTGGCTCTCAACAGTGAGAGATTCTGCTATACATAAATAAGATAAGTTGGCATATGTTCGTCTGATGTAAAATTGCCATTGCAGCTTGAAGTTTGACTTCATTCAGAGGGCCAAGCCCTCCAGGACTGGCTTGGTGGAAGTAAAAATGGGGGCAGATGCAAACTAGTATGGAGCACCCACTGTTACAGCAGTTGGTGACTTGGTGCACTCCAGATGTTTTGGATTGTACCTCCCTTAATTTTTGACTGATGGCAATACTGACTGGGATTCATGGGAGTTGCAGTCCATAATATCTAGAGGGCACCAGGTTGCCAGCCCCACCCTAATGGTTGCCAGGACACTTGGGTCTCTGTTCCGGTGCACCACATCTGCAGTAACTGGTAGTGATTCTCACAAGGACTTGGGTCAGATAGAGTCCCACTACTCTGCTTGGATGTGAGGGGGTTAAGCACTAGGAGGAAATGGGAAGAAAGGCACAAACAAGGCTCCCACCCTTAAAGGTAGCCTAGAGGAAGTCCCATCTCAAGCATTCCTCAAAGCAAGGCTTTAATGTCACCATTCACCTATTATTAAAGAAATTCCACCAGAACAGTGACAATTAGAAACCCCCTATCCATAAGGATCAAAGAAGGTTCTTCAGTCTTCTTCCCTTTGTCACCCCCTTAAAAAATGAACACCTCTAGATTTCTGTGATATGGTAAACCAGAAGCTAAACAGCTGGTCTGAATTATGAACTAAAACCAGGAGTCGCATGAAATTGCTAGCTTTTATACTTGAGGCTGTTAATCCAATGTATCTAGTCTTGATGTGGTTGCAGTTTTAAGATCTGAGCACTGCAGTGTTTACTTTCTTGCTTTTCTGTAGCATAACCTCTAAATGGCACTGTGGTATATTAGCAAAGCATGAATAGCACAAACAAAGAAGCAGTTTTCTTAGTTTTAACAATTAAATACTGCATTTTCCCTGCCCTAAAACCATTTTGTCCAAAGAGATTTTTAAGCACAGAAGTGAAATTGGAGGGTCAGAGCATCATCTAAAGAACCCTTAATCAATGATGAATAGGGAATGACAAGTGTGCAATAAATGCTTCATGTAGAATAGTCCTCCAACTATCAGGAAGCTACCAACATAGTCCTATAGAAAAAGAAAATGTTGTATTGCTCAAAGATAGTTATTAAAGATTTGGAGAACAATGTTCAATATTCTTTAGATTATATAGAAATTCCATGACCCTGTACTTAACATCTTGTTTCTCTAGAAAGAAGAAAGATAGCTATTATCTGTTTCAAGTGTCACACTGAGAATTCAGTATTTGGTCGATTCCTTCTCAAGGAAATGACAAGAAGCACTGTCTTGACTTTTCTTTTTAAAGGAAACAAGTACAAAAGAATACGGGACAGTGGCTTCACAAGAGTTTCTTTTAATTTGTCCTTACAAGAAGGCACAGACTTATTTTCTGTTGTTTAGGCAGAAAAGACTAGTTCTCCTGGGTCTTAGTTATAGGAAAGCAGATCTTGGGTGAACATTAATAGAAATTTCACCAGGAACAGCTTTCACTGAAACCAATAGACAATTCAGTGACAGATTATTTATCCACTGTGGGGAAAGATTTATATTGGGATTAGAAATGCCTAAGATATCCTCGTTCCTTGGCCTATAAGAAAGTAATTAGGAGATGGGAATGTACCTAGGGAAGGATGTTTATGATGTGGGTGTTGTCAAGGAAAGCTCCAAACAAGTGAATCCACAGGAGGAGATAAGAAGGTGTGCAGCAGGCTAGATCTCTTCCTTTCAAGCCATATATAGCTCTTCTCTAGCTTCTGAGCCATTAGCAAGCACCACCACCCACACAGTTTTGTTCTTCCCTGCTCCCTACTCCTGCAATAATGGGGAAAACACCAGCAGTTCTTCTTTAAAATGAAAGCTGAACACATTGTGTTATGAAAATGACAGCAAATCCCATGCTGATTTGCAGAGACAGCGAGGATGTGGTGAGGAGGATCTGATGGAGCTTGGGTGCAGCACTCTGTTAGGATCAGTGTCCCTGTGGGAACCAGTAGCACATAGAGAGTCCTGCACATGCCTCATCTTCTTCCTGAAGTTGCTTTCCCCACCTTCTCCTCATGCTTATCATCAACATTGCCTGCTGTTAAGAAGTGAAGGAAAGACCATGGTATATGTTAAAGCATATACATGGACAATGGTCATTCTGTGTGTGTGTGTGTGTGTGTGTGTGCGTGTGTGCGCGCGCGCATGTGCCCATTCGGCTAAGCATGCATACCCATCTCTCATAAGGATCCGAGGGTGCTTCCAGATGAGGTTTTTGTGGTGCCATAAGTTGACTTCATTCACTTAAATGTAGGGGGGGTCCAGAAAACAATGCTTTCTTCTGTTTGTGACCCTCTCATATTTTCTCAGTGCATTTTCCACCTTTTTCCTTAACACAGAATATCTACATAGGGAAAAAATGTAACAATTGTACTGTTCCTTTTGTTCACAGTGGTAGGACCCCTCTGTCCGGAAACACCCTAAATTGCCATTGGAATGAGTGCACATGTCTGTGTGTATATTTGCAGCTGCATTAGTATTTGTACCTGTAGGAAGAAGCATGTTTGTATACTGGATATGGCTATATATTTTCTTCTGCTCTCCCTTGTGTTGCATTTCTGGTTGCACGAGGGCCTCCCCCATGTCTCCCCACCCCTCTCCTTAGCCTAATGTGAGATTTCACTGATGTACAGCCTGATTGACCCCACATTTCCTCCTTTGCCCTCGTCTGGAACCCTGGCACAGCTCATTCTGGAGGTAAGACCAACAGTTGGATCTTGCCATGAAGAGTGGCTGTTTTTCCCTGGACTTTGGGCAGAGAAATACAACGGACCCATCAGGTTTTTAGGAATATAGAGCTGGAAGTGAACCAAAGCCCCTGTCATGAAACTGGACTCATCCGTATGACTCTGAAACCACACTGTGCCATAGCAGAGGGCAGGTGCATTGCAGAAGGCTCTTTGTGGAGCAAACAGGTCCAAGAGATGCTCACAGTTTGAAAGCCACGTGCTGCAGAAGGCAAACACAGGCACAGCCATGCCACCTCCAGAGCCATGAGAAATCTGGTTTGTGAAAGAGGATAGAGTCATGTGGTGTTTCCGTCTCCCTGGAGGAAGAGAAGAAGCAACTTCCTTTTTCTCTCTTACACGGGTAATTTAACCCCAGGTGCCATTGTAAACATGGCCATAGTTTATTGTCCCTGTAGGTATCTCATCCCATGTTTCTCGCCTCCCCTGAGATTTTGGGCTCTCCTGCCTTAGCAAACCTTGCCATCTCTTGTTTTCCAACTGCAGCAGCCTCCCTCATGGTGGGTACCGGAGGGATGAGGCCAACAGCAGCAGCAAAACCAGCACAGATACCCTCTACCCACCTGCACAGAAGCCACCTCTTCAGCGCCCAGTGTCCCCCCGAGCAGGGCTGTGCCCAGTCCAGCCACTTGGGGCCAGCCGGGGCCCCACCCCACCTGTGGCTCCCCGCAGAAAGTTGCTGATGCCCCCTGACTCCCAAGACACAGCACTGGAGGAATTCGATGAGAAGCTGAAGCGCCCCAAGTCATCAGGCTACTCTCAGGCAGGCACAGGGGAGTCACGGCCCCAGACACCACTGAGTGAGGCCTCCAGCCGTGTGTCTGTCCTCCGCCCCTCGCCCAAGCTGCCCCGGTCAGGCTCCAAGATCTTTGACAAGTTCAAATTCTTTGAGGAGCGGCGAAAAAGCCTGGAACAGAATGAAAACCCTTTTGCAGGCCACACGTGGCTGCCCCTGCGCAAGACACGCTCCTTTGATCAGCCTGGTTTGGATGATGCCAGCCCCTTCTTCTCAGCTGGCTCTCAGGATGACCTGCAAGCGGACAGCCGCTCAGAACTGGGAGGAGTGGCCTTCCGGCGCCAGGCTTTCCACCAGAAGGCAGCTTCCTTGGATGAGCGTGGCCGCTTCTCTAGTCGTGTGCATGACCTGGAGCACAAATTCACTGAGGAACTCGGCCGTATCAAGCGCACGGTGTCTCAGCAGCAGCTGCGGCGATCTCAAGAATTGTTCCGGTCACCATCCCCTCATGCCTTGGCAGAGCTGCCTGCCCCCAGAGTACCCCCACCAAGGAAGCTCAAACCCCTTAAAGCTTTACCACTGACCGAGAATGCACATGGTGTTCAACAGCTAGTGTTGTCCAGCGTGGGACTTGTGGGGTCCAGGAATGAGCCCAAGGGGACCCAGAAGCTTCTCTCAAGGAACGGAGCTACAGCTGAACTGGACCGAGGTCCAAAGGAAGTGGAAATGAATGGACAGGAGTTGCGGCGGAAGGTGGAGCATTGCCTGCTGTCTCATGCTGCCCCATTGGGACGGAGGGACTTGCTGCAGGGTGGGCCTCTTGAAAGTAATGACTGCGTGGATGGAGGCTCCATGAACCTAGCAAAAGCAAGCCATGAGCCTAAGGATCCAAATGGAACCTCACGTGCCTGGAAACGGGAGTCTGGCCAGGATGGACATTCCCTGCCCTGGGGCAAAGGAGAATCAGGTCCAGAAAGAAGCAGGCCAGTGGGGACACAGGGTGCAAACAGAGAGTTGGAGAGAAAGACTGGGAAAGTGATGGAGAAGAAGGACAATGCATTGCAGCTTCAGGAAGGGAAGAGTGCACGGAACAGAGGCAAGGGCCGACGGACCAGACACACGTCACCTGAACCAGGTATGGGAGAAAGGCAAGTGCTGCAGTGGTCTCACTAGGAAAGAACCTGACAAAGCAGGGCAGGAACATTTTCCTGTGTGCCTTGTGGAGAACAGGCCTTCCCACAAAGGTGGAGAGGGACCTCAGAGCATTTTTGCAGCCTAGGTGACACCCTTGAGACTCAGTCCAGGGCATCATGCTTGCCTGCCTACCTAAGACTGAATGATCTCATCAAGAACGGTTGGTAAGTTCTGTGTCTGGGGCAAGCTTTGCCAACATCTATGCTACTTGTTTCTCAAGCTTTTGCCCACTTTATCAGTTTCTAGTGTTCTGCCTAGAGAGTCACCTGAGCTTGACACTGGGTCTAGGGAACCATAGAAAAGCCAGGCTGGGGAACCATAATACCCCAAGCTGAGCAAGGATGAAGTTAGGGTTGGAAGTGGCATGAAAGGATAGGAGGACAAAACCTGCATAAGAGTAAGGACTTCGAATGCCATTCATTCAAGCTTTGAAAGTGGTATAAACACCTCATTCCATCACATTATGGGAAGTGAGCATTTATTCTTCCAGTGCTGCAATATCAGTGTTTTATCTCTCAAGAGGGGCCAGAGTATCCATTTATACTGATCATTCATTAATTTCTGGGAAACAGGTAAAAATTTTCAAAACCATGTGCTTCAGTGAATATTAAAGACTGTTCTAGTACAAAATGTATCCATATAAGAACTGCTCCCCCTGCCCAAAGAAGCAACTACTGCACTTTGTTAAAACACGTGTTTCAAAAGCATTAGCTGCATTGCACTGCATTGAATTAGACTAATAGACACAAAATGTTTCTTTTTAATGAATAAGATGCTGCTTAAGAGCCACAGGCACCAAAGTGGTGATCAACTGATTAAGAAGAATGGGGCCATAACACGCCTGATTCTGCTTTTACTTAAAACTTGCATCTTGTATTTATTCACCTATATCAAGAATTTATAGACATGGATCATGGGACACGGACTAGCTTCAATAAGTGTTTCTAATAATTATGGAGATTCTGGTATGATAAACGTGGCTGGTAAAGTTCCTCCAACTGCAATTATTGCTATTCTGTTATAGTTGGCATGTCATATTTGGTACACAGGCTAGAAAGTGACAAGATCACATCCTTGCACCCACCAGTTGATCAAAAGTAAAAGTTGCCTTATCTGTCCACATCCACCACAAACATATTTCCTTAGCCATTTTAGATCTTGATTGTCCCATAAAATCAATTTAACATGAGAAAATGGATCAAAGTATAAGTGATGCAAGATGATAAGCCACACATTTCTAACTGTAGCAACTGTTCCTACCTCTTCTATTCTCATAAAGCTCACCCATTTTATCTATCTCTTACCACCAAATTCTCATGCACCCCATATGAAGTGGAAAAGGGTATGTGAAAATACTGATCTCATTGGACCAGTATGTTTCCCACACAAACCCAGTCCTAGGTTGACTTTTTTTGTGGAGAAAACAGAGTAGATTAAGCAGTTTCACATGGCATTGTACCTGAGGTGGCTGTTGATCTCAAGAAAAGCAACCATCAACATTCATAAAAGAATTTCAAGAATATTAGCTATTTTGGAAGCTTTAGCCAAACGCATTTTGTTTAGATTTCAAAGCAAACAAATACATAAATTGCAGAAGAAAAGTGATTGCTTAGGTCTTAACAGGAAGTATATACATGGATGTCTGACCTAACAGCAAAATACAACAGATATGGAATCGATGATAAGCACATTCCATTAAAAACAAGACTATTCAATCTGGTTGATTGTATCTGACATCTTCATAGTTTTCCATAAACTGAAGGGACACACTGCCCTCTTATTAATAGAAGATGGGAGAAAAATACAATGGTTGCAAAAATGGAACTTCGTATCTCATTTTTGACCATATCTAAATAGTATAGGATCTTCATAGGTAAAGACGGGGGTCTCTAAGTAGTTGGCAATTACAAAACATAATGCAGTATGTGCAGAAATTAAATAGTTGCAGCTCTCTGGGGTTACGTGTCACTTAACAAGGAATTGTAGTATTCTAATGGCTCACTGGGATTTTGTGACAGGAATTTCAGTATATATGCAGTTGTTGGGTCAAGAGTGACAAGACCTGTTCCTTGCTTCAGTGCAGATTATTTGTCCTTTAACCTAGTATGCTCCTTGGGAATGCTTCCAACAACTTTGTGAGGTAAGTAGATTGGCCTTAGTACCCCCATTTTGTGGACTGAGGCCAAGGCTAAAAGAGAGACACATTTGGGATGCACAGAAATAGTGCATATCCCATGTAGCTGTTATGCTGCATCTCCAAAGCACGGATGGGAAAGAAAATCACCTACTTCTTTCCTTGACAGCCTGACTCAGTATACTATATAAGCAAATGTTGATATAATTAAACAGTCTAAGCCTATGATGAACTTTGAGTATATCCAGCTATAACTGTGGTTTTGTGAGTGTTCTAAGTATTTTCCTCCTGAGAACAAGTGAAACAGGGCCTATCAATTTTGATTATTCTTTATAGACCTGGGATTGTGGCTGTTAGCATCAAGGCAAGATAAGCTTTGCTGCTCAGGGGGCTCATTTAATTCTTTAGTAGGCAGATCAGATCAGGAACATGCTCTGTGCTAGAGGGATTATTGAGTTTGAGCAAGCTGCAAGCAATAGCACATAAAAGGGCTTTCCTACAGCATCAGTCTTGATTGAGGGAGCCAAGAACATACAATCCTTCCCCATGGGATTCAGATTCTCAGCCTTCCTCCATATGGCCCCTTCTGCAGCTGCTCTTTCTACCTGTCTCTCTGCAGAATCCTCCGATGATTCCTACATCTCAGCAGGCGAGGATCCGCTGGAGGCACCCATCTTTGAGATCCCTATCCAGGATGTAACAATCACAGCTGGAACTGAGGTGCTATTCAAATGTATCATCACGGGCAACCCTTCCCCAGAAGGCAAGTGACTGACATACCAGGCAGTTTTCACAGGCAAACTTACTGGGGTACCCAGTGCAGGCAAGATTAAGATGAGTCTTGGTGCAATAAAAAATAGGAGCAAAGGATATTTGTTTTGTTTGAGCTGTTCTTCTAGGGATATTCACACTTCTTCCACTCAGACACTGAAACTGCTGGGCTTGGCCCCTTGGGCACACCCTCCAGATCTAGGCTGGACCTTACCCATCGATGCAAAGAATTCTTCACCACCAACCCCAGCACCATTTGTAAATTATAATAGCAAGAGTTGATAAACATTTCTGGCGAACAATTTTCCAAGATCAATAGGTGCCCATACCATCTCCTTTAATAATGCAGACTATAGTTCTGCATTAAGATTGGGAAATAACCCAGGGAAGATAATGCCCACAGATATGAAAAGCATAGGAAGTCCGTTTTAGGAAATTCAGAAATGGCAGCATTTATGTGGTTTGACACCCATCTGTTCCAGAACAGATATTCTTTGGCAGGAACAGAATTTGGGCATTCAACAGATAAAATAGGTAACTTCACATCAGTGTGAATGTGTGGGTTAGTGAGACGCTCCTACCTGCTCTGATCTGTCCTTCCCACTCACCCTTTTTCCATAGTGTCATGGCGCAAGGATGGCATCCCCTTTCGGAGCAGTACCGCTCGCCCTATCAAAGCAGAGGGGGAGCGCCACACCCTGCTGGTCAGGAGTGCCCGTGTGGCTGATGGCGGCCTCTACACAGTTTGTGCTACCAATGAGGTCGGTGAGGCGTGCTGTAGCGCCATCTTGACTGTGCGGCCAGGTAAATGCATGAGTAGGGTGGAGATGCCAAGCTAGCTCGACTTGTAGGACCATATTCTGTGAGAAGTCAGTTTGCAAGGCCTTGTTTCTAGTTGAGCGGGGGAGGGATGCCCGGTCAGCCCAGTTCATTCTACTGCTGATGAAATAGACACGAGGCTGCCTTTACCCTACAAGGCTTGGTTTAGGTCAGCCAGCCTGACAAACAGCCAGCAGTCTTGAACGTGGGGAAGAAAGAAGAGACGGCCTGGCCTGTTGAGCTCTCAGCACCAACCACCAGAGGTGGCAGGGGAGGGGGAATAGTTGCTTCTGAGGTGCATTCCTTACAGATGATCTGGCACAGCAACATAACCGGGAGCTGAATCATGTCAGGAGTTGCAGTTTGTAAGTGTTTCAGGGCACACGTAGATACAGTTTATCTGAAAGGATGCAAATGAGGTAATTCATGGTTTGATCTGAAATGTGAGCCCTGAAGGGGCTGGGCTAGGCGCCTGCTGTGCTGACGCCACTCCGTTGTGGCTGGAAGGGAAGGGGGATCCAGACGGACTGCTGGCTTCGTCTCCCTTCCACCTTGTTAGCTGGCTGCACTCGTGCACCCGCACACTCCCTCTCCATGTCGCATGGGATGGATACCGCCTTTCAGGAGATCTTTGTATTTGATCTGAAGTAGGCAGAAAGTTCGAGAGAGATTCAGGAGGTGCCTGTAGGAGTCCTGTTGCTGCATGGATTGCAGATACGGGAGGAAAGCCCCCGTTTGTGCCTGATGTCCTTGCAGTATAATCCTATGCATGTTTACTGGAAAGTAAGTCCCACTGCATTCAAGGGACCTTAATGCCAGGTAAGTTTGCATAGGATTGCAGCCTGGGTGGGGTGGGGCCTGATGGCGAGCAGACTTATGCTCCGGCGAATGTGGGGAGAGTGCTTTTTGTTTGTCTGCATGATGTGAGAGAGTGAGATACTGAGGATACATGCAGCACCCTTTTTTCCTTATACCGTCTTTACCTTCCCCATAGTCATGAAGAAATGGGATTTCTGTCTTTGGATGCCCTGGTCTGGCAAAGGATATATTGAGCTATGTGCTCCCAAAGAAATTGCTTCCAGTAGAGGCAGCACAGAATTCTTTCTGGGTCTCGTATTTTTGTCTGAATACATAGAGATTAGCCTTCTAAAGTAATCTGACTTCTAAATCTTGCATTGTTTTGGGAATAAGGGGAAAAGCAGGCATAGGCTAACAATTTCCCCTCCGATGCACACAGATTCATCTTCTGCCTGAAATAGAGCAAGATGCTGGACTTGAAAGACAATCCTTTTGTCTGGATGCTTCCCAGTGCAAACAGACTAAGAAACATCCTTAGTCAAGTTTTTGTGCCTGTCACAGAACCAACATGTACTCCTTCCTGTAAACTCTAGTGTAAAGGATTATTTTATTGTATAAGCCCCCTCCACCCTCAATACACACGCGCGCGCACACACACACACACACAAAGATTGAAGGGTAGCATAGCACATTGCTGTCATGGAGATGGGTATCTTTAAAGAAGCTACTATACATTCTCTAACTTTTGTGCAATGATCAGTATCCACAAACTCTGACCTCACAGGAGGGAGTGGATCTGTCCCAGGTTCTTGCTACCATGCAAACTCGGCAAGCTGTGATTGTCCTAGCTACTAATGTCACCTTGGCCCCTTTCAGAGAGAGCAAGCCAGCAGTGCTGCTGCCAATATTAAAATTCTTTGCTGATAGCCCTTTCTTTGCTGATATCTCTGTTCCACTGCTGCTGCCATCCAGTAAGGGGTGTCCCTGAATGCCCCAAAATTTGGCAGAATGAGAGGCAGCACTGAATGTTATGTCTCCTGACATGGTCATGGGAAAGGGGCTTGTTGCTGCTGATTCCTCCCACTACCCCTGGTAGGGCAAGGGGATTAGACACTAGAAACAGTCTTGGTTGTGCAGTGGATTGGAAGCCTCCCCCACCACCCGCCTCATCCAGTTGGAGGATGCAGCAGCCCATATGTGACATGGGAAATTATGGAAACAAGGTGGCGTGCAACTGACACAGAACTGGGGCTTCTTTCCCTTCTCTGATTGTGCAAATGTGGATGAGGGCCTTATTGCAAGATAGAGTTCACAAACTGAACAGTCACATTCTTTGCATTTATAATAAACTATGTGTTAAGCCAATAACACATATTATAGAAATGTCACTGGATCAAATAAGTTAATAAAATGGTATTTATTAGCTATCTGAGCTGGTGAAATTCTCACACTGACTTTGCTAGAGCAGATTTACACAAATAACTGTTTATCTGCAGCAACCCCATTGCATGCACGTATTTGCTAATGCTGGTGGTTGCCATAATTGCTTTAGTACTTTTAAACTCACCCTTCTGAGGAGTTCAGGACTTACTACATTTTAAAAAAAAATCCTCATGGCAAGTCTGTAAGCCAGGATAGACTCAGAAGGTGAATTGCTCAAGGTGATTTTTCTCTCAGAGAACTTTATCTCTTTCTTTCTGACCAACCGGTCAGTGATCTCATGGGAATCATCTTGGACAAAAACCACTTCATGGAAAACTCATCTGAGGAAAAACTCCTCATCATAATTTTGCCATTTCAGATATGATCACAGACATCACATTCAGAAACATTTCACACTACAGACCAGAATGTAGGGGGAGGCACACAAGTCTGGATGCCTTGTCACACAGAAAACACCCCTGCCTCCTTGCAGAAACCCAGCTTGGCAGCCTGCTCCCTGATGTATTTTTCTTCATACAAGGAGGATTTTTTTAATGGGATAGCATGCAGATATGCAATTCTCCAGCAGTGTTCTGAAAGAGTACAATCTTAGGAGGATTGTGTACTATGTGATGGTTCTGATTGTGTAGTTCTGCTCTAAATCAGCCTCTAGGCTCCATTTGGTGAAAGTGGAAATGGCCTATTTGAGATAATGTTGTTCATGCTAGGCTAGGTACAGTGCCCTAATTGCAAAATGGGGCATAGAATAGTCAAGAGGAAAGAAAGATATAGCTGATGGGATGTTAGTTGGCTTAGGTAGGCGAGGACAGGGGAAAACCAAGAATTAAGTCACTTTAGCCACATACCATGAGGGCCCATGTTTATGCTACAGGGCCAGCATTATGTAATGTGCTTGTCACTTCCCCA